TGACCCCGTCCCCGCAGGGCTGCTGGCGGAGAAGGACAGCGGTTACTGCACCTGCAGGACCCCATGCAACCTGACCAGGTACAACAAGGAGCTCTCCATGGTCAAGATCCCCAGCAAGACCTCGGCCAAGTACCTGGAGAAGAAGTTCAACAARTCAGAAAAATACATCTCGTGAGTAGGGGAGGACCTGAATTCCTTTGGGTTTGGCAGGGRAAAGGTCTGGGAAACCCCAGGAGGTGAAACCAGTCCTGGCCAGTCCATCCCCAGCCCAGAGTGACCTCCAGGGAAGAGCAGAGTGAACATGTGGAAGAGACGGGGTTGTCTTCTTCTTGGTGGAACAATGTGAGGTCCTTCCCTAGGACTGTCCTCATGGAAATCCTCTGTTCCCACCAAAAAAAGGGCAGGAATTCCCAGGTTTGGAATTCTTGGGGAATTCTTGGAGTATTCTTGAAGGCAGAAGCTCCAGGCTGAGGTCCTCAGGCAGCCACAGCCTCAGAGCTCTCCCAGCTCTGGGTGTGGGTGGGATGGGAGAGTTGTTCCCGGTTATTCCGTATCCTTTGGATTCTCCTTTATGGATTCCTGGAATGATTTGGGCTGAAGGGATCCCAAATCCCACCCAGTGCCACTCCAGCCATGGGCAGGGACACCTCCCACCGTCCCAGGGTCCTCCAAACCCCAGTGTCCAGCCTGGTCTTGGACACTGCCAAGGATGGAGGAATTGCCCTCAAAGGAAAGTGCTTCCAGCAAAGTGAGATCCAAAATCCCAACACTTCCTGGGGGAAGTGTTTTTCAACTTCTCCAAAGACTCCCAGGGTGCCCTGAGCTCCTGCTCAGCACTAGCTCCGAATTCTGTGGGTTCTTCCAGGAACAGGAGCAGTCAGGACAAAGCGGGGAATAAATCCCCAAACTCCCATTTTTCCCCCATCCCAAAGCCCCAAGCAGCCCTGGGCTGACCCTTTTCCCGTTTCCAGAGAGAACATTCTCGTGCTGGACATCTTTTTTGAAGCTCTCAACTACGAGACCATCGAGCAGAAGAARGCCTACGAGGTGGCAGCCCTGCTTGGTGAGGGGAGACTGGGACCAGTTTGGGGTCTGCACTGGGCTGGGAGGGACGGGGGAGGGTCCATCCACCCTGGGACACTCAAGCTGGAGTGTCCTGGAGATGCTTCCCAAAAACAAAAATCCCAAAAATCCCAGGGCGTCTCCCTTCCCTCTTTTTGCCTGGTTGGGGTTTTTCCCTGGCTCCAGGGGCATTGATTCTTCCCAGTCCTTCCCCAATCTGGGAATCAGGAATTCCAGGAATGCCAACCTGGAGCACTCATTAGCAGGAAAACCGTTTTGGGGCCAACCCCATTCCCAGGATCCGGACCCTATTCCCAGGATCCTGACACCATTCCCTGGGATGCCGATCCCATTCCTGACCCCATTCCCAGGATGCTAACCCCGTTCCCAGCCCCATTCCTGGGATGCCAACCCCATTCCCAGGATCCCAACCCCATTCCCGGGATGCTAACCCTGTTCCCAGCCCCATTCCTGGGACACCAACCCCATTCCCAGGATCCCAACCCCATTCCCAGGATGCTAACCCCATTCCCAACCCCATTCCCGGGACGCCAACCCCATTCCCAGGATCCCAACCCCATTCCCGGGATGGAGCCGATGCCGTTGGCAATGCCGCCATTCTGGGGTAGAGGGGGTGGATTTTTCCCAGGTTTTTTTTTTGGGATGGGAACACTGACAGTGCTGTCTCCATCCCACAGGTGACATCGGGGGCCAGATGGGGCTGTTCATCGGGGCCAGCATCCTCACCGTGCTCGAGCTCTTCGACTACTTGTACGAGGTGAGAACTCCCAGCCCCATCCTGGCATTTCCTGCTCCTGGAGCCCCTCATCCCAGGATTTCCCATTCCTGGTGTCCCTCATCCCTCAAATTGCCCCTCATCCCTGGATTTCCCGCTCCTGATCCCCCTCATCCCAGAATTTCCCACTCTTGGTATCCCTTATCCTGGAATTTTGCGCTTCTGGAGCCCCTTAGCCCAGGATTTCCCATTCCTGGTGTCACTCATCCTTGGAATTGTCCCTCATCCCTGGATTTCCTGCTCCTGATCCCCCTCATCCCAGAATTTCCCACTCTTGGTATCCCTTATCCTGGAATTTTGCGCTTCTGGAGCCCCTTAGCCCAGGATTTGCCCCTTAGCCCAGGATTTGCCTCTCATCCCAGGATTTCCTGCTCTGGATCCTCCTCATCCCTGGATTTCCCATTCCTGGGGTCTCTTATCCTGGGATTTCTCATTCCTGGAACTCCTAAGTCCAGGATTTCCCACTCCTGATCCCTCTCATCCCAGGATTTTGTATTCCTGGTGTCCCTCAACCTAAGATTTCCCATTCCTGGTATCCCTCTGCCTGGGATTTCCTGCTCCTGGAGCCCCTCATCCCTGGAATTGCCCCTTATCCCAGGATTTCCCACTCCTGGAGTCCCTCATCTCGGGATTTCCCACTCCTGGAGTCCCTCATATCGGGATTTCCCATTCCTGGTGTCCCTTATCCCAGGATTTCCCATTCCTGGTGTCCCTTATCCCAGGATTTCCCACTCCTGATCCCCTCATCCCAAGATTTCCCATTCCTCCTATCCCTTATCCCGGCATTTCCCCCTTATCCCAGGATTTCCCACTCCTCATCTCCCACATCCGTGGATTTCCCATTCCCGATCCCCCTCATCCCAGGATTTCCCACCTCTGGTCCCCCTCATCCTGGGATTTCCTGTTCCCTGGGGATCTCAGAGCCCCCAGAAATCCCACATTTCCCACCTGCCTCATCCCCCAGCCTCATCTCAGGATGGGAACAGGGGATTTTATTCCCATGGGATGCGGGAATTATCCCCGGCCATTGATTTCGTGTGTCCCAGTCCAGGGAAGGATCCCATCCCACAATCCCAGCTCACTTGAAATCCTCCTATTTCATTGGTTTTGGGATGCTGATTTGATATTTTTACATTTTCTGACAATTTTCCCCCCATCCCGATTCATCCTGGGCAGCTACAGCGTCAGTGCCATTAATGGGGAATAAAATCCATGGAAAATTCTGGGCACAGGGCTCAGAGAGCAACAAAGTGCTGGGAAAAATACTGGGGGAAAATGCTGAAAAAAAATGAAAGAATACTGGGAAAAATACTGAAAAAGAGGAAGAAATACTGGGGGAAAATGCTGAAAAAAATGAAAGAATATTGGGAAAAATACTGAAAAAGAGGGGAAAATACTGGAAAAGATGCTGGGGAAAAATACTGGAAAAATACTAGAAATAAAAATGCTAAGAAAAAATGATGGGAAAAAGACTGAAAAAATAATGGAAAAATACTGGGAAAAAAAACCCTGTAAAAATAATAGAAAAAATACTGGGAAAAAAAATTGAAAAAATAATGGAAAAAATACTGTGAAAAAATACTGAAAAATATAATGGAAAAAATACTGGGAAAAATACTGGCAAAAATACTGGGGGAAAATGGAAAAATGCTATGAAAAAATATTGAAAAAAATACTGGGATAAAATAATCAGAAAAAATACTGGGGAAAAAATACTGGAAAAATACTGTGAAAAAAAAATGCTCAGAAAAATATTGAAAAAATAAGGGCAAAAATACTGGAGAAAAAATGGAAAAAATACTGAAAAAAATACGGGGGAAAAATACTGAAAACAAAAAGAAAAAATACTGGGGGAAAAATATTGAAAAAAATAATGGAAAAAATACTAGGAAAATAATGGAAAAAAATCTGAGGGGAAAAAGAACTTAAAAAAACTGGGAAAAAAATCTGAAAAAAAATACTGGGATAAAATAATCAGAAAAAAATACTGGGGGAAAACACTGAAAAAATA